GAGATTGCCTCGGAAACAGCGTCAGCATGAATGTTCCAGTAAAGCCAATCGACAGCTGGTCAAGAGGACTCAGATTGCCTCGGAAACAGCGTCAGCATGAATCTTCCAGTAAAGCCAATCGACAGCTGGTCAAGAGGAATCTGCGATTGCCTCGGAAACAGCGTCAGCATGAATCTTCCAGTAAAGCCAATCGACAGCTGGTCAAGAGGAATCCACCGTTGCCTCGGAAACAGCGTCAGCATGAATCTTCCAGTAAAGCCAATCGACAGCTGGTCAAGAGGAATCCGCAGTCCTCGGAAACAGCGTCAGCATGAATCTTCCAGTAAAGCCAATCGACAGCTGGTCAAGAGAAATTCGCCGTTGCTCGGAAACAGCGTCAGCATGAATCTTCCAGTAAAGCCAATCGACAGCTGGTCAAGAGGAATCCGCCGTCTTCTATGATGTTCGTCATATGACGGACGAAAGCTTAGCACCTTTTCACCGGAATCGAAGAAGATTACCTCGGAAATGCATGAATCTTCCAGTAAAGCCAATCGACAGCTGGTCAAGAGGAATCCGCCGTCGTCTTCTGGTGGAATCGAACTTCGAATCTCTTCACCCACATGAATCTTCCAGTAAAGCCAATCGACAGCTGGTCAAGAGGAATCCGCCGTCGTCTTCTGGTGGAACCGCCATGAATCTTCCAGTAAAGCCAATCGACAGCTGGTCAAGAGGAATCCGCCGTCGTCTTCTGGTGGAACCGATCTTCGAATCTCTTCACTCAGCACTTTCACTCGAGATGGAAGTAAGCTCAACAATTATGAGCAAATCTAATTCTAAAAAAGCCATTCTACAAATAGATGTTTGAATAAAGCTATAAGTACAATTCAAAGTTTTCTCAAAGGAATTATCAAAGAGAGAGAGAGAGAGAGAGATCCAACACTGTATATTAATATGCATAAGGACTGACTGCAGCAGAATGTAGATAGGAGATGGAATGGGGAAAAAATTGAGAAAATAATTATGTATAATTCGTCAGCAGGCCAGAATAAACTCACTCGAGTAAAATTATGTTTTACGTTCAGATCCAATTGTTTAGGATATACATAAAGTGTGTTTATAACTGAAGTGTAAGGTGTGGCATAGACAGAGGCAAGCAGGCCGGCAGCAGCCTGGTTATTTGCAGTGTCTCCTTGGCTGCCAGATCCGCCAACAGCGCCAGAAATACCGCCACCTGTACCGAATATTTCGCCGCCAGTGCCTCCAGTCGACCCAATTTCATGTCCAGGCCGGTTAGAACTAGATTCTGCCCCACCAGTGACCTCATCATTGCAAAGGGAGCGCAAGCGCGATGAAGGCCCGAGACCGACTGCGCTACCGCCAGCGCTAGCAACGTCTCCAGCGGTAGATAGGGTAGACCCGGGTCCACACAAGAGGCCAAGGCTGCCGCTGCTAGCCCAATTTGTCAAACCGCCGACTGCTGTAGCCAGTCTGTCGAGAGAGTTCGATTTGGCACAATGTTGCCCGGAGGATCCAGCCGTCGCCGAGGCAGAAGTCAGCAGAGTCGAACCTGCAGTTGAGTATGAAGAAGCGGATAGGTGACCAGAAGCGGCCAATGTTCCGCCACTGACGAGAAAAGGAGTGGTCGTGGAAGCAGAAGCGGCAGCGTGATTTAGCGGCAGGAGATGGCCGGAGGTTGAGTAGCCGGCCATGTAGCGCCGTAGAGGTTGCCCAAAGCCGCTGGGATGAACGGCCAGACTGCCAAAGTCGACGAGGCTGCCATTTGCAGGAGTTAGCGAGGAATCGGAGCCTGTGGTCAGAGATGCTGACCCACAGGCGCTACTGCCGCTGCCGCCCCATGCCCCTATGCCGCCACTGCTGCCAAGGCTGCCTTGAGAGCACGCGACTGCCGCGGGAAAATAGGAAGTGGCACCAGCAGCGGGTGTGGTAAGGAAAGCGGCTCCCAGACTGGGCCCTACGTTGGGCGCGTCGAGCGGCATGAAGAGGAGGTTGGAGCAGGTGGGCCGATTGTGACCTGGTTGGCGAGGCAAACTGCTGGTCAGGTTGCTTGTCAAACCAGAGGAGAGGGAAATACGTTCGCCTTGGGGAAAATATGAACGAGAGATACATTAAAATATAGTGAAACAGACAGACGGGAAAACAAGGTTAAGAGGGATGGAGAAGAGAGAAAGCAGGAAAGTGTAGGATAAAAAAGGAAAACAAATAAATACAAGGAGATAAAAAGATGAAGAGAGAAGAGAGATGAAATAATCGCTGACAAATGCGAGTTAGTGAAATAGAGCAAAGGAAAATTTTAAAGATAGAGGCTAATAAATCAGTTTTAGTTATATTTACTTCAAATATCCATGGCTATAAAGAATAAGATTGTTGATAAGAAATACTATTAGAATGGTAGTGTTATGGACACTGAAAGCGATATAGCCTACAATGTAGTTAAGAATATATATTTTTTTAAATCGAATAGCATCTTAACATGTATAACAACAAGCGTATTCGTCCAAACTCGATTATAACTTCAAATTAAATCAAGTCTCATCGAAAACCCTAACAGAATACGGAACATGGATATACGATTTCAGAGAGAAAGGAGTTAGCTCCTAATCAGCATGACAAAAACACTGTGGATTTGCATTAAATGGACGAATTTTACGCAACAGAGGCATATCTCATAATGCTTCAGCATAATTGTGAAGTGAAAATGTGGCTT